TAAAGCAAAATATTCAGAGAACCAACAGTGACAGGAAGGAAACCAGGACTCAAAGCAATGATTTGGAACAAGAGGAAGAAATACACATCCAACTGAATCAGAATGAAGAAACAGAATCCAAAAAAATGAAGAGAATAAGGAATCTCTGGGACAACTTGCAATGTTCCAATGTTCGAATCATTGGGGTACCAGAAGGAGAATAACAGCAACAAGAAATTGGAAACATAATAAAAGAAAACTTCCCAATCTGGTGAAGAAAACAGACTTTTAGGAAGTCCAGGAAGCCCAGAGAGTCCCAAAAAATTTGGACCCAAATAGGAATACACCAAGGCACGTCATCATTAAGTTACCTAAGATTAAAGACAAAGAGACAATCTTAAAAGCAGCAAGAGGGAAGGAAAGAGTTATCTATGAAGATGTGCCCATGAGGCTATCAACTGATTTCTCAAAAGAAACCTTACAGGCAATAAGGGGCTGGAAAGAAGTATTTAAAGTCATGAAAGGCAAAGACCTATTCCAAGAATACTCTATCCAGCAAAGCTATCATTTAGAATGGAAGGGCAGATAAAGTGCTTCCCAGATAAGGTCAAGTTAAAGGAGTTCTTCATCACCAAGCCATTATTATATGAAGTGTTAAAGGGATATATCTAAGAAGAGGAAGATAAAAAATGTGAACAATAAAATGACAACAAACTCACAACTATCAATAAATGAACCTAAAAAAATAAAAGAAAGAAAAACAATGAAAACAAAAATTAAGCAAACAACTAGAACAGGAACAGAATTAGAGAAATGGACATTACATGGAGGGTTTTCAGTGGGGAGGAGGTATAGGAAGAATGGGGGAAAAGGTACAAGGAAGAAGAAGCACAATTGGTAGGCATAAAATAGACGGGGAGAGGTAAAAAATGGTGTAGGAAACAGAGAATTCAGAGAACTTATATGTACAACCTGTGGACATGATGTAAAGGGGGCGATGCTGGAGGGTTGGGAGGTATAGAGTGAAAGGGGGATAAATGGAAAAATTGGGAAAACTGTAATAGCATAATCAGTAAAATACAATTAAAAAAGAAAAAGACATAAAATAATAAAACCCCTGGTAAACAAATAGAAATATGTTACTTGTACTTTCATCACCTATTAAAACTTATTAATAAAGAACAGAAAACCCTATGGCTGAAATGTTCATTTTCTTCATTCTGGACAAAATTATAAGCAATGGGATTACACAAGAGTGTGTACACTGTATATCCTATAGTAAACTCCTACTGCTTTGTAAGCATAAAAAAGGCTATGTTAGGTTAAATGGAATTCAAACAATATCAGTAAAAAAGAAGAGTAACACATTGGCCACCAAATGCTCATTTCTACAGTAAAACACTCCCATTCCACTCCAAGGAGATTTAGAGAAATATTACCTCATGATAATATACTAATGACAGCTAATCTTGTTAATCTAGTAGAGCAACTAGAATTCATCCCAGCCCCTCAGTCAGAATTTGATCCTGCAAAAAAAATGCAGCAGTGAAGAAATTTGTGAAATGATAGCTGAGTAAGCAAAAAAACAATTAAGAAATTTCCAACAGCTGCTAGGAGTTGAGATGAGCCAACCGGCAAGAAAGGGAGAGTGCTAATACTAATTCTCATATTTGAAAGAAAACAAAAGTGCTCCATTTACCCTTTAATGTACAGCATTTCTCATTCCACTCAAACATCCACTTTAGCAAAATAAAATCTAAGAGGCATTACCTAGCAAAGGTTTTACTCTGATTAAATGCCATCAGCACATATTACCATATCTTTGGCTGAAGTCTCAGGTATGCCAGAAAGTGCAAAAGGAAACGACAACAGAAAGAGGATGCCAAGCTATTGAGCAATGTTCCTTCTAATTGTGATTTTGTTAGGTATGTAACGAACACTTTGTTCTGTAGTCTCTTGTGCTCAGAAGCAATCTAGGTATCACCATGTAAACAATCTGAAGATATTAATCACACATCATCAGCCATTCAGCTATTATTCATCCTTAACATGCTCCATTCCAAACCACAATGAGCACTGCACCAGGAACAAATAACCCCTTCAGGCTGATACACTGTGGTATATAGAACGTGGCTTCACCAGATGGATAATAAATAGATAACAACAAACTCAATGTGGCTAGGGGGTCAGCGCCTCCAAAAGAGTTGAGAGCTCAAGTGATCTGTATTTCCCCTCCCCCCCCTCCCTCCCTCCCTCAGTATTAAGAAATAAAGTAATTTCTGAGGGTGCTCAAGACAGAAAACAAGCAACTGTTAAGTGTCATGGAACTTGCATATATCGTTTCACTTAATATCTGACAGCTATGTTTATACTCATTTTATAGACACAGAAACTGAGGCTCAAGAAGGCAAAGTAACCTTTTATACAAATAAGATGATTATCCCCCAAAAGGTATGGATCTGGCTCCAAGCCTTATGTACTTAAGAATCTTTCTTTCTAGAAGAAATCAGTAATCAACTATTGCCTGGCCAAACACTCAGTGCCATGTATGTTTGCTTACATAAAGCAAAATACTATAGCCCCAGTTTTCCTCCTCTGGTGTTTCTTGTCTTCTTTCTTAAGTTCCATATAAATTAAATTTTGGCCACAGGATGTCCCTGTTTGGTTTTTGATTGACATCATTTTGCTTCATTATCATCTAATTAGAATTGGTAGGGGCACTTACAGGCACACTCACCTGAGAAATGAGGGTGGGCCTGTGCAGTCAGCTCTCTGCTTGTAGCATGGACAACACACAACTGACAGTCCCTTCATCAGGTTACGCTGGGTAATCACTAGTGCTGAGCAATCCTGGCAGTACTTGCTATAATTCTTATAATTTTTGGAAATCTTTGGCTTACATGAAGTTTCATTTAGGTGCCTTTTCTTTACAAGAAATATAGGAAAAATACAATCCAAACTTTTAGACAATAGCTAGACAATAAAAGAAAACAGAACACCCGTTTATGTTCACGGGCTAGGAAATGGTGGAATTCCCTAACAATACGGCACATGGCTCATATTTAAAAGGATGCTGAGAGTCAACCTCATACAAAGTTCTTAAGAAAGTTCTAAAGAAAATACAGAGCTCAGTCCTTTCATTCTTCAAGCTTCCAGAGTAATCACCAAATCCTATGGTTCTTTTTCTAAAGCTCACACCTGATGGGCTTCTTATTCCAGACAGAATCACAGGTAACCCAACTAATTTCCACTCTACCGGTGGAGATTATCTCTCCTCCCTTTGTCCCTCAGGATGTCTTCCTAAATCTCTTTCTGTGATTATTCCCACACCAGGCATATCTTGTCTTCAAGTTACATTCTCCCCAGTCTCAAAGCACTGTCCACCTGTGCAGCCTTCTGGTCCTTTTCAGAGCAGCTGCCCTCCTTTCTCTCCCTGAAGATGTTCTCTAAAACATTTGGCCTTTCCTTAGGCCTGTAGCTTCATTCACAAAGGTTCATCTTTACTTTAAGTGGGCATATTGTCTTTGTGCATCTAAGATAACATACCTTTGAATGTTAACTGATTTTTTTTTACCTGTCAAAGTCACAACAGTGGGCACTAGAGCACTAGACTTCATTGTTATCTTGCTGCCCACATACCATCTATATGTGCTTTAAATGTTAACTATCCTATACCCACCCAGGTTAAAAAAGTATGTGTCAGTCCACTTTTTTTTTTTTTTATCGACTCCTGGAGATCTCCCCCACAACCTTAATTTGCCACCAAAGGATTTCATGTAAACCCAAGTTGGTCTCTTCCTTTCATTCAATGTATAAAATAAGCTGTAAAAATGCCATTTTCTGGAGCATTTTCTCATCCTGTTACTTCCTGGTAATTGCCATCAGTTTGGCTCAAATAAACTCATAAAAATTCTCAAAACAAATCAACACAACTTGGCCTTTCAAGGCTGGCCCTTACTCTAGCAGCAATTGTGGAATCGTAATCCTACCCTCAATGAAAAGTGTGTATGTCTACACAGAAATACTTAGCAAGTCCCTGGTACACAATGGCACTCAACAATTGTCAGTGTATCACCAATGTTAATGAATGCACAGATAAGAAAGTAAATGTGAGATTTATGACTAATTTTGGGGGGAAGAGTCAATATAATCCGTTTATCAAAAAACCTGGATTTTATCAGGTGAATTATTACATGCTCAAGGCTTTAGACCCTTCTCTTTAGTACACAGTCAAGTCATTCTGGGAGGAGTAATGATGGTCCAAGAGTGCTGCTTGCCATCAATGACAAAATTATCTTTTAGCTACTTGACACAAGCATTAGCAATTTCCTTTTTTTTGGGTGTTATTCCAAAACAAGGCCAGTTGAGCATGTCTGATAATCTCCATTCTTCCTCTTAGTCTTATTCCTACACATGTTAATTCTTAGATATCTGATATCAACAAAACAGTCCTTGGAAATTTATGCAGACTTAGAATCCATTAATTTGAATAATAAGTTCAGATGGTTTTAATGAACGAATTAGTAGTAGCTGTGACAAAGCTTCCCTCATGGAAAATCGAGGCTGAATGACTGCTTTATTGCAGTCTCATTTTTCACTGGATGGCCTCTTAATCAAAGAGGAAAGCCTTGGCCACATGAATATTTAAGCATAATCCAGTCTATATGCACCTGGTAGACAAGAGGAAGATATTCATGCAAACATCTCAATCAGAAGCCATCAAATATGATTTAATGGTTAATTATCTTAGTTTATTTCCACATATCCATATGAACTAAGATATCTTAGTTCAAGGATAAAGTGGTCATTTTCTTAAACTTAGCCTGAACACCACCAGAAACACTTTAAATACTATTCTTAAACTTGAAACTATAACTATTCTTAAACTATAAACTTATCCTAAACACCACATAAACACTATCCTTGCTTCAATGGCAATCATGTAAAATTAGAATGTTATGAACAAAAATGGACTGGAACCTCTTCACTGTCACAAGTTATATTCTTAAATCCATATTTTTTTAAGCGTGGACTTCTTCATGAATTTATGTCATTCTTGTGCAGGGGCCACACTAATCTTTTTTGTATCATTCTAATTTTAGCATATGTTCTGCTGAAGTGAGCCTACATTCATATAATCTATAAAATTCTTTGGAATAGCTCCCCTACTAATCTCCTACTCTTCCATTAAATTTACTGTCCAGTCACAGTAAGACTTGCAAGGTCAGTCTGTAGAAGGGTGGTTAAGAACATGGATTACAGAACCAGAATACCTGTTTTAACTATAAGACTTTTGCCATGTTATTTAACCTCTGGTGTTTTGGTTTCCTTATATGAAAAACAAGGATAAAAAAAGTACCTACCTCATGAACTTGCTGTATTACACTTACACATTTTAAGTGTGCCAAAAGTGTTAAAAATCATTATCATTACAAAATCTGTCTTTGTAATAGCTAAGCAAATTATATGTCAAGACACTCATGTTTCAAGAGTAGTAATAAGCAACAAATATAAACAAAAAGTCAAAATATATTGGCAAGTAACACACTACTCACACACAAAAACAATGACAAGAGTATATAAATACCTTTTTTAAAAATCTTCATCCAAGAATACATTTATTGATTTTAGAGAGAGGGAGGAGGGGAGAGAGTAAAAGAGAGAGAAACATTGATCAGTTGCCTCCTGTACACACCCTGAGCAGAGACTGAACCCACAACCTAGGTATGTGACCTGACCAGGAATCAAACCTGCAAACTTTTTGGTGTACTGGATGATGATGCTCTAACCAACTGAGTAACCCGGCCAGGGCTAAAGACCTCATCTTAAGCAGAAAAGAGATCTAATTAAACCCTCCTTAAGTTTCTTATTTAAGCCAATAAACAGGCAAACAACAGTTGGTCTTCAGGATCAATCATCAGCCAATGATGAATGCTTCCTGTATGGCTTCTAATGGAAAATTGTAGAAAACAGAGTCCTACAAACAAATCTGTATGGTTTTTCTTGGCTTTCACACATAAAGACAATATCAGGTTTCTTAGATATCATACCAAAATTTCCATAAAATGAAATCTCATTATATACAGCTGTATTGATAACGTACTCCAACTCTGGTAAGGCCCAAGCAACTAAGAAATTACCTTTTGCCCCCATAAATGCTAAAATTTCATTCTGAGAGGTAGATCCAATCCACACTGAAATATTTTCTGTAATTATCTCCTCCAAAGTGGACCATATTTCTTTTGGAAATCCTCATTTTCCAAAACAACATATATGTGTGCACAGAAAAGTAGTGCTGTAACAAATCAACAATTTCTAACTGGGAAGATCATGGTGGTAAGTCATGCCCTCCACACATAAATTTTTAGGTAAAAGCCATATTTTTGTCTTAAACAAGCCCTGTCCATTCATTCCATGTCTGGGATAACACACCTTTGAAATGTCTCTTTCAGACCCCTCCTTCTAAGACAGTAAATAATGTTAACTATTCTGTAATCCAATCCTGGCCTTGCTTTCTCCCACCTTCATGTAATCTTCCTTATGTTCTCTCCTTACTTTGAAATGCATATAAGAAACTGCAAAATTGTAATTCTGTGGAGCATTTGAGATCTTGCTCCCTGGCATATGCTGTCAGTTTGGCTCAAATAAACTCTTACAAAAATTGTCTACAGATTTAGACATTTCTTAAGGCAACATATATTTTTAATGTAAAATTTCAATATTTAATACAACATTTTTTCCTCAATAAACTCTAAGTCTAGATCTCTCATTCTCACACCAATCCCACTGACTGGCCTACAGAGCAAAGCACTACTGTGCCACCAGTGATGACGTATTACAAGAATAATTTAAAACTCACATTATATGTTGATCATTTCTTATTCTTTGATTCCATATATGGCAAGATTTGAAGGTCTAAATTATAATTATATAGGCCTGAGTCTAGTTTATTAATGCTTCTGAAAAGCACATGATCTCCAAAAGTAGAAAGAAAATGGCTTTGTGACTAATTTTTCAATCTAAATAGCATAAAACATGGCCTCACTTTAGTTCTTCTTTCTTTACAGGCTACAATGAAATGATTTGTTCAATCTTCAGATGAGTGTGATACATATCCTTATGCCATCATAAATAGTGAAAGAGGTGGCCTCACCCACAAGAAAAGGCCTCAAAAAGGCATAAATTTCATAATTAAGGTCAGAAAAGGTAGTTAAACGTCATCCAGGCCTAAACCAAAATCTTTGGTTTTTATATCTCAAATTATTTGCTGTCTCTGATGGATAAGAGCAATACCATGGGTATTGAAATGAATTGCCACAGAACACTAGCAAGTATTAATTCTTGAAGGGTCTTCTTTGTGCCATCCTTTGCTAAGCCATGGGAATAAAAATAAATAAATAAATCATTACTTCAAGAAGTTTAAAATCTAATGGAGGAGACAGACATGCATAAATAACTATATGAGGTATTAGACTGTATTTCAAAAGCATCTAGTAGTCACATTTGGTGGCAGGCACATTTATCTCACTTTCATCTATAAATTATAATAAGGATGAACAGTTCTGAGGTCTATACAGCTTATGCCAAAATGTAGCTTGAAAGAAAGGAAACACCCAAAGAAATCTGTATAAGCCTCTAGCTCAGTCACAAAATAGAGACTTTAATATTGTAAGAACAAGACCTTCCCTGGGTTTGCTTTCCTCAGAGGCACATCTCTAACTTCTGAAAGTGCTTCTAATCTGTAGCCACTAGATCAATACAAGGGATTTTTTTCTTCTTTGGTTTCAGACAGCCTTTTGACCAGAAAACACAGGGCTGAAGAAGCTTCAAACCCTGCAACAGTCAAAAACCTGTCTAGCTGAGAAGAAGAGAGTTATAGTCAAGAGTTTTTTTGCTTCATTTGCTTCATTTAAAAAAATATATATTGACCATAAATGAGGTCAGGTATGGTCCTAAAACTTAGGAATACTAACAAGAATGACGACTAGATTATACTGCAGTGGGAGAGGCACACAACCAGCAAAGATATAGTCAGAGGGGAAAAATGTAACACTTTAATCCCAGAAGAACTGTAGGGATTAAAGATCCCTACAGATCAAGAAATTCTTATTTCTGGCAGGTGGATCTCCTGGGAAGCCTTCCCCTAGCTTCTGTAGGGACTCCCCCCCCCCCCAGGGACTCCCTCCCACCCCACTCCAACCAAGCCCTGGTACTTGCCTTCTCTGTGCCTAGTTTGGGAATTACTTTCCGTGTTCTGTGGCTACCCATTTTTTTATTGGCATATAACCAGCTGGTTTTCTTCTTGAGGTCAGGCATGGTAATAACACCTATCTGAATATGCTCTCCAGCAAAAGAACAAAGTAAGAAAATAATCTAAAATAAATTGTAGACTGAAGAATTGACAAATCACCAGTATACTGAAGCAATGAGGCAAAATGATAAGATTTTATTTATTTTGAGAGTGGGGAAGTGAAAGAGAGGGAGAGAAACATTGATGTGTGAGAGAAACATCTATTGGTAGCCTCTCACATGCCTCCAACTGGGGAACACCTGTGCTCAATCCACTGAGCCACACCAGCCAAGGCATGCTGATTCTTCTTAAAACCTTACTCAAAAAAACTGACCCTTACCTACCAAACTGGAATAGATACTTCTGCTTTCTCCTTTAAATTTCAGTTCTTTCAGCTGTAACTAAATAATGTAACAAAATTACAGGAGTTTCTGTGAAGCTTTCTTTGGCCCTAGACTATTTTGGCCAGAGAACAGTTAAAGGAAAACTACCTTATTCCATGGTTAATTAATGAGAGTGCTTCATGCATACTTGTGAGGGGGTTTCTAGCTGCGCAAGTCTGCAGGGTGTAGTAGGAGCAGATAATGACTCTAGAATATTGTTCTGTGGGATTTTTCTTGCCATGTAAAGTCCTAAGAAGGCCCTGACTATAAATAAACACAAAGATGGCTCCCACAAAGAAAGCAACTGAGAAAATGATTAACCAAATCGAAGACTTTTACAGTATTACTCCTACCATAGTAAGCTAAATACAATATAAATTAATTGGCACTTGGTGCAAAAACAGTACTTACATTTTCATTACTGCCGCCATGCCACTCTTTTCCTGATGAGGAAATTAAGGCGTAGTGTGGTTAAATTGTGTGAATAAAATCTAATACTCAAAACTAGGTATCCAGATTAAAAGAGAGTGAACCTGTAGTTTAAAAAAACAAAACTAGTTTATTTCTGCACATACACCTTTTATTTTAAAGAAAATTTATAAGATAGAACTTTTGGACCTGATGTGTTTTGATAATTATTCCTCCTAAATGTCTAATATTATCTTATCTGATCACACTCTTCGCCACAATGTTCTGATTCTACTCCACGGAAATCATTAAGAAAGGAGGCTGCCACGATATGTAGATCTCACTTGAGGCAGACAGTAAACACATAGGGGAAGGCACTCTCAACGGTCCCAGTGAAAGGGAATTAAAAGACTGCTGCAGGGGCGGAAAAATCTCTTTTCCTATTTTCCCTCCAAATTCTCAGCTGGAGCCCCTGTAACAAGAGACAGATTAACAAGAAAAAAGCTTATAAATGTAAATATTGCAAAGGTTTTTCTCCTGCTAATATGAATTTAGAAAGGAGGAGACTGGGAGAAATGTTTACATCCCTCTCTTGACAGGGCACTACAGACAAATTTAGGAAACTGAGTTGGTGCAGATTCTTGCCTTCTGCAGGCTTTTGTCACTTATCCCAGCCCTCTGGAGCAAGTGGAGTGGCCAGCATTTTACTGTCTCTTTAAGATTGTTACAGTTGTAAGGGAGGAAAATTATCTTATCCTTTTAGCCTTATACATTCTCTGCTGGGGCCCCTGTAACAAAAATCATTAAAAGGAATATGCATACAAATCTATATAATTTTAAAGTTTTACACAACACAAGAACATCCATAAGGAAATAAGGACCCAAACAGGTGGTTAAACCTGGGCATTTTTTAATGCTTGGTTTGATGAAGAGTGGAAAATCCTGGAAAAATGCCGTAGGACAAAAGGTTTGAGCTAAGTGTAGTAAAGTGGGGGAAATGTAGCAAGGCCTGTTCGTTCAGATTCCTTTTGGAATTCCTCCAT